TCTCAAGTTAGTTGCTGCTCTGTGTGCACAAGAGGACAGAGACAGATTCCGTTTCGAATAAAAAAAACAAACACTGGATTTACAGGCACTCACTTGCTATGTCCTGTTATGTTTAGCAGGTCCTCAAAACTTTAAGCTGTGGGCACACAGTCATCTCAGATGAAAAATAAGATATGTTAATCTTTCAAAATTACCATATTTTTCATGGTGCAACAGAATAATGAAGCCACAAGCACTTGAAAAGATCTTATTTTGTTGGGCTTTAAATGTCATCAATATTTATATTAAATAATATATCAGTTGAGGGATTATGGGTTCTACGTAGAAGATGTTTGCAAAATCTTTATTCATATAGAACATTAAAAGAACCAGAATGTATATACACAATTATTTATTTAAAAAGATGAACAAAGCAAAAACACACCAGATGAATCTAACTAAAAAAACTAAAGGCAAAGAGGTGTGTTGTGATAAGGACAGTGTGTGTGTGCGTGCTTGAACTGGGGTTTCCTGACAGTGTAAATTTATATACAGTCAAGTATGTGAACCCTATGGAATTACCTGGATTTTTGCATAAATTGGTAATAATATGTCATCTGAACAACAGACAAACAGTCTGCTTAAACTAATACCACACAAACAATTTTGTGTTTTTTTATTGAACCGTTTGAACACTCAGACACACAGGGTGGAAAAAAAGCATGTGAACTCCTGGTTAGAGCTGTCCTGCCCTGTAAAAAAACACACAATTTTAATTTTGCTATTCTCACGAAGCATTGCCTGATGTAAACCATGCCTCGAACAAAAGAGCTCTCAGAAGACCTAAGATTAAGAATTGTTGACCTGCATAAAGCTGGAAAAGGTTACAAAAGTATCTTTAAAAGCCTTGATGTTCATCAGTCCACAGTAAGACAAAATTGTCAGTAAATAGAGAAAGTTCAGCTCTGTTGCTAGTCTTCCTAGGAGTGGCCGTCCTGAAAAGATGACTGCAGTGTTTCAGCTGAAGTCTTACAGAAATCCTGGGAACATGCTAATATCTCTGTTAACAACACTACGATGCGTGAAACACTGAACAAGAACGGAGTTCATGGGAGGACACTGTAAGGTTTAGCCCCATGGTGGAAGGAGGAGACATGGACATGGAGTTCTTCATCTGGTGCTTCAATTTATTTTTACACCAGATGCGTGGAAAGTGCAGTTGTGCAAGTGAAGTATTGTAAAAATATATAAAAAATTAACAAAAATAAACAACAAGGAAACTAAGTATATACTATTCAAATTATCATTAAAAACTGAGATTACACAACACAAAACCTATATCAGCCCTGACTATTGGGCTCCAGCACATGTGCCCTTCCAGGCCAAAGCTGTTCTCCCAAGGGGGGCCTCTGCCTCCTTCCTTTATACCAGAAGCCCCTCCTACAAGACAAACCAAAGTTAATTGACAATCAATTAAACACCATTATGTTATCTCAACAATCAACACACAACACATCAACTAGAAAACCAGAAATGAAATGTTACAGGCTAAACAAAAGCTTCTCAAAACAGCAACTTTAAGGTACTCCCGTACACCCCTCTGTACTGGCTCACACTTGGACCATTCCAGGTCTTCCCCCTATAAATGACTCCACACTCCATCATTTCCTGTTTGCCCCTTCGGCCCAGATCCCTGCTTGAGGATGAGAACAGGTGAATAAAACATACAAACATTTGAATGACCTTGGGTAAATCCCATAAGCTAATATAAATTACTTGAAATGAACTATGTATGTGTTGTATTTATCCAACCATGATTTCAACTCTTCCGACTAGTACTTAAATGAACTGACATGAAATGACAAGCCATGTGTCCATTGATGCTAGCCCATATGCTAAGGGTAACCGTCCTATGCTAATGCTCAGCTAAGGTTAGCTTAGCATGCTAAGACCAATACTACTGCTGGCTTAAATGAAGGCATGGGGGTAGCCCCATGACAGACACCATGGAGGAAGCTGCAGCTGTCCAAAAAGTCTGAAGTTTGCAAAAGAGCACATGGATGTTCCACAGCGCTACTGGCAAAATATTCTGTGGACAGGGTTGTTTGGAAGTGTTGGAATAATCTTTATCAAAGAATGACTGAGTCACTGTCTTTTTCAATGAAGGAAAAAAAGGCACAGCACACCAAAAGAAAAACCTCAACCTAACTGTGAAGTATGGTGGAGGGGGAATCATGGTTTAGGGCTGCTACGTTGGCTCAGGGCCAGGAGGGGTTGCTACCATCGACAGAAAAATGAATTCCAAAGTTTCATGCAATTTTGCAGGGGAATGTAAGGCCATTTATCCGCTAATTGAAGCTCAACAGAAGATGGGTGATGTAACAGGACAACAACCCAAAGCACAGCACACAAACAAATAAACAACAGAATGACTTCAGCAGAAGAAAATACGCCTTCTGGAGTGGCCCAGACAGAGTCCTGACCTCAACCTGATTAAGATGCTGTGGCATGACCTCAAGAGAGCGATTTACACCACTCATCCCTAGATTATTGCTGAACTGAAACTTTTAAAGAGCAAACTAAAGGAAAAAAAAGATATATAACACAATGAAGAAAAGGGCGAAATAAGACCCCTTTAAGTGATTTTATTTAACTATTTACAACATATTTACTTTATACAGGCAAAAAGGGATGAGTGGGGGAGGGGTGGAGGGATAGCGTTGTGTGTTAGGGAGTGCCTAGTGTTTCACTACTAAAGCTCATTCTGAATCTGAAACAAGGTGTTCTATCTAACAAGCCAAACAATGAGTTAAGACAGGGAACCTTGTGTAGGTTGTTCTTAGTGATGAGGCGTTTGATCTCCTCACCCCCTGCTGCCATTCCTCCTCCTTTTTGAGCCACATGTCTCAGAACAGGTCGGTCTCTCCATCTCCCATCTTCACTGAAGCTTACATCCAGAGCATCACTGCTGGTTGCTCTGTGTGAGCTCCTTCTTCTGACTCAGCAGGTCCAGGTTCTCCACATCGGCTTTTGTTCAAGCCTGCTTTCTTTTCTGTGACCCTTCTGAGGAGGTTGTCTTTTTTTTGAGCTCCTCTTTGAGCTGGCTCACCTCAGTCCGCCTTTTTCTCCAGGAGGCCAGTCAGTTCCTTCAGAGCTTTATTTTCCTCCTTCGGTTATTTAATTTCATTGATGGCAGTGTACAGGGCTTCTCTGAACCTCCGTATGACTTGTTGTTGAGCTGCTGCTGCCGCTGATTTGGGCTGTATGAGATCAGACAGAACAGCATTTTTTGCAGAGAGAAGCATCTTTTTTGTTTGTTGTTTCCTACAGGCATTAAGCATTTTGTGTGCAGCTTATGTGCCCAGGGCATCTAACATTTTAGACACCCAGAGTGCCTAGCATTTTAGCTCTGAGTGCCTCGAGTTGAAATAACTTCCAACTTAGTGCCCAGCATCATTAGAGGGTTTTCCCATTGTCCATTTGGATGAATTGAGAGCCAGGCTTTCTGTGGTGGTGATGATGTTTACAGTTGTTTGGAAACAACAGTCACAGACAGACAAGTGGTGGCTGTTGGATACCCAAAGCTACAGTTGTAGTTAACAGAAAACAGCAGGCCTGGAGGCAAATTAGTGTGGGTAAGTTGTTTTCATAAACTTAAACTGTACCAATAGTTACCATACAGTTCATGGTTTGTGTTATGCTAACTTTAGCTCACGTTTAATGTCTCCGTAGGCAAGCTGCAAGATGATTTACACTTTTTAAAGAAAACAAGCTGAACATGTAAAACTGTCATTGTACATGCTCAATATTCGGCAAGCATGGTAGTGCAGGGGTATTCAATTAGAATAGTAGTATAGTTGTATCAACATATGTTTTTAGTCAACAACGGACTGTCAAATCAAATAATATTTCAGTCAGTTTTCACATCAAACTGGAGGGATAATAAATAATAAATTCTAAATTTAAGTTAACTAAAATAAAGTGCCTAATTTTTAGAAAAAATGAAAAAAAAAACTGTAGCTTGAAGTGATAGAAGTGTAGTCTTAACCAATTTTATAATAAACACTAAACGCATCATAACAAATGAACAGCTGGAATGCCTCCTCTTCTCTTTCATTCCCTCTTACAGAGCTACCACTCCTACTTTCTCTTGTTCAGTGAGAAATGTGAGCTCTAGTTTGTCCTGCCAGCTAGCATTGGAGTTCTATGAGATATTTTGGTTCTGAACTGCCCGGAGGAATGTACATGTAAGAATCTGTACATTCTTGATTAAAAGTCATGTGAAATCTCTTTTCCTTTTGTCTCCTCAATTCATGTGTGTTTCCAAAACGTCTCTGATGAATCTCGCGGACTCAACTCGCAAGCATCGGAATGTAGATTTGATTGGCTGAGCAGCGTCACATGAGACAATTGGAGCACATATGATTGGTCTGTGAGTTTCCTGGTCCACTAAACCAGTACAGTAAATGCTAAAAAAGCTGCGCGGGTTAAAATAGAAACTCTCCGTCACAAGGTAGTAAGTCTCAATAATAAATCGGCTGTAGGTCGGCGGTCCAGAGAGGACAGCAGCTGGGTCCGGATCCGGACCACGGTCCGCTTATTAGTGACCTCTGAGGTAGTGGTAGTTGGGTGAGATCGAGGTCAGATCATGTTTACACCACAAACGAACCTCTCCAGATTTTGTTTGGGACCGGATTGAGACCACATCCTCCCAAGGGTCTTGGTGCAGTTGCTCTGGTCCACACCTAAGTGCAATTACTGTGTTTACACCTTCCCAAACACATTGCACCAAGGGGTAAAACGTCTGATTTAACCAGAATAAAAAGTGCAGGTATGAATACACCATAAGTTAAAGATTATGATATGTTTATTTTTCATCACTACTGGTGCACTTGGGGCAGGAAACCATGTTGTTATCCCCAGTGGCTGTGTGTGCAGAATGCGTGATAAATTGTCAGACTGGGCCAAGTGCCGTGACAGGAAAAATAAAGTGTAGGGCCCACACACAAGACTCTAGAGTGTTCATACAATTTGTCAGGTTTATTGCCACAAAACAGAAACAAGGCTTACATTTGTTGGTGGCAGGTAAATGTCCAAACAAAGGCAAATAGTCCAAAAGGTGAATGCATTAATCCAAACAGAAGATCCAAATATCCTGCAAGGTAGTGAAACACAGAGACACGCAGGTACACTGGACAAACAATGATGACGCGGAGGTAGCGTAGACCTGGAAAATACAGATGCACACAAGCAAGAAGGGGAACAAAAGCAGGCAGGACACATTAGGTAATCAGGACAACAGGAAACAACGTATGCAACGCATAGCAGACACAGGCCATTACCAAAATAAACAAGCAGGCACACGGAACAAAGCAGATGGACAAACAGACCAAAACTGTGACATAAATACCCAGACTCAAAGTGCTGTTATAAGACCTGTGGTTGCTGCAGCAACCTCAGCTGTTTTCTTCTTTACATAGACCTGAGCAGTGCCTCTTTCACAGTGGCCGATATAAAGCCTCTCTGCACTTTTTGATCAAAATGTGCGTCTCACATTGGTTTCACCTACTGCAGTGGTCGGCAAAAGGCTGATTTGTCACACATAAATGGTACCATCACGTTCCAGAGTGTCCAAAAGACAGTCGTTTATTACATTAGACAGCGGAACAACAAAACAAGCATAGATAGTTTTGGTGCTGAGACAGATTGTGTGTCACAATTTATGGAATATGGACAGCTCTGAGTAGGTGTGGGAATCACCAGAGGCCCCACAATATGATATTATCACGATACTTATGTCACGATACAATATTATTGCTAGTGGACTGAAAAAGCAATTTTATTAGTGCCAAAAAACAAACTTCTCATGTACAATTTATATAATAAAAGGTCGATACTTGACGTTAGTGTTACAATACAATATTGCCTTGCAAAATATCGCGATACTATGCTGTATCGATTTTTTCCCCCACCCCTAGCTCTGAGTCTACTGTATGTGTAGACTAAGCATTACAACCGGCAGCGCTTCTTCGCTACACTTTTGTTTTTTTTTATCTGTTTTTTCCGGCTTTATTGCCAAAAATGCGTTACCTCTGACATAAATACAGTCATTGGAAGATGAAGACGGGGTTTTTGGATTAAAGAGCAGCAGTTACAGACCAGGCACCATGGCGGGTGCGGTGATTGCTCAGAGGAGAGGAATGAGAGCCAGGAGAGGAGAAATGCTGGCCCAGATTGGACTTAATTCTGTTCCTAAGGAGCCGGTCTGAACAAAATGGGACTCATGTTGACCAAGCAATAGAATTCAGAGACTGCCATCAACATCTCGCAACAACCACTTGCCAGGTGGTCCATGTTCCGAGCTGCCAGCGCAAGACTCTGGCAAGATGAGAGGAGGTGGACTGCTGCTGTGTTTGGCATTGATGGTGCTTGCTGCACAGGTGTAGTCGAGATGGACTCTGTTTCCTAAATGTCAGACAGAATGTTTCATATTATCGTCTGGCTGCTGCTGTTTAAATTCACCTAAGATACACAAAAAATGCCCTGTGCAATGTTCGGGGTGTACGCGTGTATATAAATAAGTATTGTTTTATTTTATTGTCTATGTTACCATATTTTAATATAGGGCACTGCGATGGACTGGTGACCTGTCCAGGGTGTACCCCGCCTTTCGCCCGATGTCAGCTGGGATTGGCTCCACCCCCCCGCGACCCTGTACGCAGGATAAGCGGTTGACGATGGATGGATTTTAATATAGGCTTACACTTATACTACCACCTATACTACTTATACTACAATTATATATTGTGTGTAGCACAAAGGAACTACAAATTTTGTTTTGTTATGCAGCCTTGTGCTTTTTAATGACTAATAAACTACCTTGTACCTTGTACAATACACACCACATCCTGGCCATACTGGCTATCTTAGCGTATGGTGCATCAGCCTGAGAGCCTGTAAATTGCGCCTTGTGTCTTCTTGTGCATCAGTACTTACTGCAGGCATCTTGAATAGATTCTTTGCTCCGTGCCTCCAGAGTTCTTTTAATGACCAGTTCTTGGAGAAGTCAATTCATTTAAGAGCTAATAAAGAAAACAGACACATTATACAAATCTGTATAATGTTGGCGGAGGCATACAACCATGGGGCGGTAATTCTAGTTTTCATATTTTGCCAGTAATACTTTCAAACAGGACAATTCCCCCCTTTATTCCTAAACATTAAAGGAGTCATGGTTGACAGAGCCAAGAATTTTCTCTTTCTAGTATTCACTAAGAAATATAATCACAATTATTAATTAATAACAATTTGGAAACAAATAAAAATACATATACAAATGGGGTTTGGTGGTGAGACTCCCATTTTACATGCGGCATCTTCCTAAAATGCACAACCATGAAGACCGTAAAGGGTTGACTCCATGAATTCACTTACTGGCTGTTCATAATCAGGCAGTAGGTGGATAATTAAATCCCCTCGCTTGAATCTCTTGTGACGATCTGATGGTCATGGTCTTAATGTGGCAGGGGGATGGTTTCTCAGCACTCGATCTGTAAGACATGGTAGCAGAATCACACAGATCTTTAAAGTTCAGCATCATTTTACCTCAAGTCCATTTTACTCCCAACTGTTGCCACATTGTCATACAAATAAACTAAAGGATCAATATTACAGGAGAAGCCAGAAATGTCTACTTGTACGTTGTATCCCCAGATGTCATGTACCAAATTAAGTCCAAGGGATACCCCCCCCCTTTAGTTTTACCTGTTCTACCGCTGTGGAAAATAAGCATAGCATTCACATGGGAATTCGCTTCACTCAGAGACTGAATAGCAAGCTGCCAACAGACTGTGAGAAGAGACTCTGCCAAGCATCTAAGCTGGTGCTTTGAATAGACTATGCTGGTTCCCTCCTTTAACAAATAAAAGAGACAAAAAGCCAAGAACTGAGATTTATTTACAAGGTTCTCCTCACCATATTTTGCAGAACCTATACTGATAAGGTTCTGCAAAATATGGTGAATGGACAGCGTGGTTGTGCCAAATAAAATGGTGGTAAAAGATACAACAAAACCAGACCTTACTGAGCTGCTTCTAGAAACCAAAATGCAAACAAAAAAGGCTCAACTATCTTATCTAAAAAGAACTAAGCAAAATTTGGTGGCACCAACCTCTAAACCTAGTGTTGTGAGTGAAAATGAATAGGGTGCCCCAAACCTACATACATGCAAACTACTACCATATCTTTTTCTACGTCTACAAATGTACAATGTGTTCTCATACACAAAGCAGTCACTAATACAGAATCAGCACATGAGAGAACACAAACTCCTGAGGAAATCTTTTGTTACCGGACCTGGCATTACAATTGGTTAACTTATGAATGGCTGGACTAATGAGCAGCATGACCGGACAGATGCACCTGAAAAGAACACAGGAGCAAACGGTAGGGGGGGGGGCAGAAAGCAGGAAGGAACACAAACTAGGCCTGCTTGGTGTGGCTACATTCAGACTGCAGGCCTTAATGCTCAATTCTGATTTTTTCCCCCGATAAATAGCATGCACGTAACTCAAAAGAGAGCTCATGACCATGTGGGTTTCAGGTGTAAGAAAGGGAATTTGTGAGCAGGTGATAGCAATGTAGAGGAGGAAGAGAGTCACATTAAATAATGGCCTTTGTGAAGCTTTTCCCTTCATTGTGTGTCCGTCGGGCGGGGGAACAGCTGCTCTAGAGTGACGTCAAATTCGCATCAGACTCAGGTCGCATTTCAAACAATCTATATTGGATTTGTACCACAATTGAAAGTGGCACAAATCCCAACTGGAAAAGATCAGTTTCCATGTGACTTGGGCTGTTCACGCTGTCATTAAAAAAAGTCACGTATGAGCCAAAATTTGGGTCACTTTGGCCTGCAATCTGAACGTAGCAATGTAACTTATTTCAGAGTTCATTCACAACTACTATACTCAGACGATCAGTTCAAAGATCCTATCAGTAGTGTATATTGAATTTATTTCACCTCCTTGAGCAGATTGTGGCGTTCTCATTGGATGAATTGAGTTCACCACAAAGTCCCACTGTTATAAATCCTGGTATGTTCAGGGCTGGTGACGAACAGAGGGAAAGTGGCAGGTATATCTGCTAGTTAATTAGGAGATTGGGAACAGCAGTGGTGGTGAGTGTGAAGTCAGTTTGAAGGTGGGAAACACTGAGGATTACTGCAGGGCAGGGAGCGAAATGTAGGCTCTAAAAAGACATGGAGAGTGAGCAGTTGTGTTTCCGTCAACGTTTTTTTTATGCACATCTTGAAATATTGCATTCAAAAATTTTGATGGAAACTGCAAAATAAAAAAAAACTCCTCAACATCGCAAAAACATTTTTTTACACTCGCTTGAGGTGGTGGCTCTTTTTCGAAAAAGAGTTAATGCGCTAAATTGGAGATGGCAACACCTTTGCCAAACAAGTTCTGACGTAGCGAAAATTTACAGTGGGTACGGAAAGTATTCAGACCCCTTTAAATTTTTCACTCTATGTTTCATTGCAGCCATTTTCCAAAAATCAAAAAAGTTCATTTTATTTCTCAGTAATGTACACTCAGCACCCCATCTTGACAGAAAAAAAACAGAAATGTAAAAATTTTTGCAAATTTATTAAAAAAGATAAACTGAAATATCACATGGTCATAAGTATTCAGACCCTTTGCTCAGTATTTAGTAGAAGCACCCTTTTGATCTAATACAGCCATGAGTCGTTTTGGGAAAGATGCAACAAGTTTTTCACATCTGGATTTGGGTATCCTCTGCCATTCCTCCTTGCAGATTCTCTCCAGTTCTGTCAGGTTGGATGGTAAACGTTGGTGGACAGCCATTTTCAGGTCTCTCCAGAGATGCTCAGTTGGGTTTAAGTCAGGGCTCTGGCTGGGCCATTCAAGAACAGCCACGGAGTTGTTGTGAAGCCACTCCTTCGTTATTTTAGCGGTTTGCTTAGGGTCATTGTCTTGTTGGAAGGTAAACCTTCGGCCCAGTCTGAGGTCCAGAGCACTCTGGAAAAGGTTTTCGTCCAGGATATCCCTGTACTTGGCCGCATTCATCTTTCCCTCGATTGCAACCAGTCGTCCTGTCCCTGCAGCTGAAAAACACCCCCACAGCATGATGCTGCCACCACCATGCTTCACTGTTGAGACTGTATTGGACAGGTGATGAGCAGTGCCTGGTTTTCTCCACACATACCGCTTAGAATTAAGGCCAAAAAGTTCTATCTTGGTCTCATCAGACCAGAGGATCTTATTTATCACCATCTTGGAGTCCTTCAGGTGTTTTTTAGCAAACTCCATGCGGGCTTTCATGTGTCTTGCACTGAGGAGAGGCTTCCGTCGGGCCACTCTGCCATAAAGCCCCGACTGGTGGATTGCTGCAGTGATGGTTGACTTACTACAACTTTCTCCCATCTCCCAACTGCATCTCTGGAGCTCAGCCACAGTGACCTTTGGGTTCTTCTTTACCTCTCTCACCAAGGCTCTTCTCCCCCGATAGCTCAGTTTGGCCGGACGGCCAGCTCTAGGAAGGGTTCTGGTCGTCCCAAACGTCTTCCATTTGAGGATTATGGAGGCCACTGTGCTCTTAGGAACCTTAAGTGCAGCAGAAATTTTTTTGTAACCTTGGCCAGATCTGTGCCTTGCCACGATTCTGTCTCTGAGCTCTTCAGGCAGTTCCTTTGACCTCATGATTCTCATTTGCTCTGACATGCACTGTGAGCTGTAAGGTCTTATATAGACAGGTGTGTGGCTTTCCTAATCAAGTCCAATCAGTATAATCAAACACAGCTGGACTCAAATGAAGGTGTAGAACCATCTCAAGGATGATCAGAAGAAATAGACAGCACCTGAGTTAAATATGAGTGTCACGGCAAAGGGTCTGAATACTTATGACCATGTGATATTTCAGTTTTTCTTTTTTAATAAATTTGCAAAAATTTCTACATTTCTGTTTTTTTCTGTCAAGATGGGGTGCTGAGTGTACATTACTGAGAAATAAAATGAACTTTTTTGATTTTTGGAAAATGGCTGCAATGAAACAAAGAGTGAAAAATTTAAAGGGGTCTGAATACTTTCCGTACCCACTGTACATAGTTCCAACCAAGGAAGTTGCTACCGTAGTTAGCAACAATGCTTTTGGGAAACGCACTCCTGGTCGATTCTCAAGTATCTTATCATCATGTACTCATATCATTATGTACTGTACTATAAAGTTATCAAATTATAGTGAATCAGGAAATATGTATTGGCAGTTTATTATCAGTTAGTCATTGATTTGTTCCTCAGTAACAATTTTTGTGTATGGTGTTGGTAAGAGATGCCCCTATGGTTATGTTTCTGCAATACAACTGCTTGATTAATAGGAGAAATATCACCTTTTTGATTAAAACTAAGCCGTGTTGTGTATTGGTAAACTACTCAGCCACACAAGGTTCAGTTTTGTTGGTAGAGCATTCATTGGTGATACCAAATTAAGCAATTTTCAACAGATGCAATTTAGCATGAAACTTGTTGTAGGATCAAATAATATATGCAAGAAACATTTACATATTTTATTACAAAATTGATTGTACTTGTGCAATATTTAACAACTAAAACAATGTTAAAGTTAATTAGCAGTCTATCTCAGCTATTTATGTTAGCAGTTTTGGTTAAATATTACATATTGGAGTTGTGAATTCATTACAAATACACTCAGACTTACAGTTAAATGTTTTATATTGGCAGAACTAAAAAGCAATTGATTGGGAAATTGCCTAGAGTGTAATCACTCTAACTAGGCACCTGTAGCAGACAACATATTAGCATTGTCTGCATTTCTTACTGATTGACCCTCCCAGTGCACCTGCTTTTAATCAAACACTAATTAACACTGATCCTGATTAGCATCTGAGAGCTTGCCAATTAAGTGGTTCTAGAATACAGAGAAAACACAAGTTGAGGAATGGAAGATTGCATTACAGAGAGTAGACTTTCAGTATAATCGAACATGTACAAACAACATGAACTCTTGTTTACAAACAGAACTAAGACATATGCTGTATGTAGTATGTTTGCTACAGATGTCTAAGGTAAGCAAGGTTATTTAGCCACACTAGCAGCTCCGTGAGACTGTAATGCTCATTAACGCACTAAACAACTAAATCTCTGGATGGATTTTTAAAATGTTGCTGCATTTGATTCCCCATCTTCCTGTCATTGCTCTAATGTCTCTAATCTGTATTGAAGGAATACAAATGTCCACCAATTCACACAATAAATAAGAAGGGCTTATCCTCTATTCTTTACATCAGACATTTCAGAACATCTCAGACTCAGTTCAACTGTACTTTGAGCTGAATGTTTGGATGAATGCTAACCATCATTGATAGCCAGCTATTGTTAGCAGAAAGCATTTGTGTGGGATGAGAGCCTGAGTATGACAATTATGCCAATTATCTGTACTCAGAATGGGCGGGGTTTTAACCAGATGTGGACATGACTAACTGGAAGTTAGTTATTTCAGTTAT